GCGCGTGGCCCATGTGTTTATATCGTAGCACCGTCCTTACGTACACGATTACGGAAGCAAATGCACGCATATACGTTGCACACGGTTAAGAATCAGGATACCGATGTCGTCCGAGTATGTGTTCATGTATGTGTATACTGGAATCCTTGATCGCGAACACCTTTTAATACCACTTCGACCTCCCGCCAACATCCTTTAATGCGCGTAACGGTATCTCTGAAGTGTTCCGCCGTGATCGCATTTCTTGCTTCTTAATCTAGCGTGGTTGTTTCTTAGTTTCACATTTCTTTCAGTCTTCTTACATTTGAGGTACTATAATATATTTTCGACGTTTAATTTTCATTTCGCAAGAGAGAGTATTATACTTATTATTTATTAGTTAGAAAAATACTTCTAATTAATTTGTAAAATTCAGTTTTAATATTTGTATGCAAGATATCCGTGGATTCTTCATTTGTATTTAATGTAATTAATGGCACATTAATATTATTGCATTTTAGAACAATACGAAACAAAACACTAACCGATCTAATTAAAGTGTTCTTTTATCATTGTACACGCGTAATTCTCAGTATTATTAAAAATTATGATATATGTATAATAACGCGTTAAAATGTAAATTCATTGTACAATGGTCGCTAGTCCAGACAGGTTTAATGTCCGAGAACTTCCCGTCGAAACGAATAAATCACACGACAGCAATATCGAATGCATATAATAAATTCGATTATGGTATAATATACAGTTAAAAAAATAATGTCATCCTGTTTCTGTAGGACGGATCATTTTATATAACAAAGTATCTCGAAATCGTGATATTTCGTAAATCCCCACATCAATTTTTACTTAATAATCTTACATATGAGTCTTGTTTCTCGCGAGTTAGCTCTTCCTCTTCTTTTGTTCCAAATTATATGTTATATGTAATGATAGCTATTACTACATCCGCTTCGCGCCCATTTTATATAATTGCTTGTAGTGTATGGGCTATATGAAAGTCGTCAATCACCGTATTAACATATTAACATGCTCGTAGAATAAAAAATTGATCGTGATACTAGCTAAAATATAAATTGATCGTAAGGATTTATAATACAGTGGCTATTGTTAATTATATATTACTAGTTCGTTGCTACCTTTAATTTTATATACTTTTCTTATTAAATGTGCATCAATTTTTATTTATCTTCTTGCGTCTTAAAATACCGTAGTATGCCACTTAAGTGTGAACACCTGAAGAGCGTGAGAAGAGCTACTATCTTATGTGCGCTAAGTGTTACATAGTACAAGGTCAGGAGCTCGTAACTTTTTAATATAACTCCGCTGGTGTACGTGGCATCAGAAATACATTCAGTTTACAACGCGTTTAGTTTACGACTATTTTATGAGGTGCGAACGACTGTGAGACGAGCTATGAGTTCCATAACTGTCAAATCCAAGTGCCATTTATGACTCAATCTTTACGGGTGCTAACGACGTCGTTTATTTTATCCAACCGTTTTATCTACATCAGCCGGTGATACATATACATATAAACAGATCGTTTAACATTTTTTGTTGTCTTTCTTATACGGTCTTATAATGAAAATGATTATAAATATTAGATTTCATCATTTTTCAAATTCGATTATATTTATTATCTTTAGTTTAATATTATCTTTTCAATTTTTTAAAATCGAAACAGTATGAATATAATAAATGCAATTCGCTTCTCCTGGGATGGACGATTGACAATCGACATCTCGACCGTCTTCTTTTGATTACATCGATATAGTAGATAAGAGAATGCGGGACAAAGAAATTCCTATCCAGAGGCCATTTTGCTAACTAGAGGCCATCGTAGTTATATGACGTCACTTCCATATCCAACCATGGCGTCACATGACGCTCCACCCTGTTTTCAATCACCTTGGCCCCGAACCCACCCAGCTGTCAGACATGCTCCACCCCGTTTTTTCCTCTTCTTCCGTGCTATCACTATCGCCATCTGCCGACAATATTATGTACTTCTTAGACCCTTAAATAATCAGTTGGTTTATTATCTTTCCGGTCGATGTCACCACTAAATGAGGCCTAAAATACTTATCTGATATATGCATCTTGAATTTGACATAATTAACATGTTACATCTTATTAGATAAAGGAAGAGACATGTTCTACAAATAACATTGTTATACAGATGTATTGTTCAATTTTTTAAAATTATTTTAATTTTAAAGGAATTTCTCTAAATTTTGAGATTCATAAAATAGTTTGAAAAATTAAATGTAACGTACGATAACTGATTGTGCACACTTCGCACTATTAAATTAAAGAGATGCAAGGGGAAAGAGGACGAGAAGCTGCGAAAAATACTCCGTCTACGTCAATAGGATTCAGATACTTGCACTTCAGAGGAGGATACATAAAGGGGAATTTACGGGGCGGGAATTGAGTTCAAATCCTGCGAGAGGTTGAATTTATACGCGAGAGACGAGGAAGGAGAGGTGCTGGGGAAGGGGGTGGCGAACGCGTGGAATCGCTATCGGCGGCCATTCATCAATCCGTGGAATCAATACGCTGGAATTAATGAAAGCGCCGCGCGAACAGCAAGCTAGCGGCCGGAATGTTAATCGCGATCGTCCGCGTCCGACCCGTTCTCATGTACAGCAAACTCCCAAGGGCCGCACCTCTCACCCTCTCTCACACTCACACCCTTTACCCTGCTATGCTGCCCGTTGCACATCCGAACCCGTTCCTAACTCCGTGTTTAGCACCACCCACACTGTCATGCCACCCGCAACAATACCATATGTACACTCACATGTATATTTTCATTTATTCCTTTACGACGAGATAAATTTTTTGCAGTGTAAAAGCTAAATATATTATTGGTTTTAAAGGATCATGTTTTTCTATTAATCATTTTTAATAGTATATTAAATTTTATCTTGTTGTTGTATATTTAAAGAATTAACAAAATTTCTGCTTTAAGAGAATAATTTGCAATATTTTATAAAAACTTTTTAATTAGAAACTTTTTAACTAGAAACTTTAATCAATTCTGTATTTTTATTTAACATTGAAATTAAAAAAAATTTAAGAAACTATAGAATTTGAAAATTGCGAAAATTACATGATTTGTATAAGTTGTACAACTTTGAAACATCAATATGGTCGGTATAGAAGATTTTGATCTTGAATCGGCAGATCAACATAGTCTCATAAAAGGTAAAAACCTTTCATATTTCAGTCGATAAGAAAGCCATATCTTATTATTTTGTTAACAATGATATATCCCGATCACGTGCAAATAATAACTTTTAGAATTAAAATAAGGAAAAATATTATATGCATATTATTGTTAAGAGTAGGTATTAATCTTATTTTTATTTTTACAAAGCGTAAAAATTATTGTGGGTCAAAATTTGCTTTACATTATACATACATACAAAAAAAATTAGTTATATTATTAATCGCTATATTTATTGATCTTTAATATTATATTTTTAATATTATTAATTCGATATTATTTTAATAGTTTTTCTTATAGCATTTCTTATAGTTTTTCATTCTTGCGAAATGTGTTTAATCGAATGTATTTATTTTTTATTATTCCTTTAGTGTTTTATTATTAAATAGGATTTAATAATAAAACATGAAAAATATATCTTATGTAATTTTTAAATACAGATCAATTTAAATGTATTTTTTTTTAGTATAATAATGTGTGGTATTTTAATAGTAAGATAATGTATAATGAAAGCAATAATGTTTGTAGAACATTTGAATAATTAAATTAAATTTGTTTATAAAATCATATGAAGCTACAAAACAAAATTTTTTAATTCAATTGTAATGGCTTGGTTGAAATATATATTTGAATATATATTTATTTTGGAAGATTAATTAGGTAAATTGAAACTGTTATATTCTCACTTATTTCTTATACATACATTATTTCTTAGAATATCTCTTTTATATTTAGTTGTTTTATTCTAACCTGATGTATTGAGTTAAACATGAATGGTTTCGATACATCCTATTATACTAATTTCATGCAACATACGCATCGGAACCTTTACAAAATTTCCGAAAAAAAGATTGATGCGAAGGGGAAAGGTTTTTGTGGGAAGTGACTATACTACCTAATGGATGGAAATTTTTCCAAATTTAACGATCGTTTAGCCCGCCCACACAGAACGCTGTAATAAGTTTGGCGTCTGTGCGATGGCCGTCACCGTGACGAGCACATGTGAAACTTGCCTTCTGTCATTCACGCGCTAAACTCTGTTCAGTACATTCAGTTCGCTTGACAAAGATCATGCAAAGTTTCAGTTATGTCTGCGATATTATATTTATATATCGTAAAATCTTCGCAAAAATAATGGTATTTATTTGAAAATTTTTTTGCTTGTGAAATCATGACAGTTGCCAATTATCACTAATACACATTTTTATCATTTAATAATTTTATTATTTAATAATTTATCAATATTTTTAATTATATCATAAATTTAATATAATTGTTATTTACACTGAAGTTTATGTGATGCTTGATACATATGAATCAGACGTAATTAACATAATTCTTAATATTGTAGTATTGTAATATTGTAACAAATAACATAATGTGTAATATGTAAATTTTTTTTGTGTTACAGGTGCGGCTTAATTTCGATTATAGGGTGGACAGAGGAACGAAACGGGTCTGGAGTGGCTTGGCGTTTTGAACGAAGGTGTCACACCGGGGAAGACGAAGGACTTTGATTATTATCTTCCGCTACCACCTTGTGTATACGTGGTATACTCTCCTCCTTCTCCACTTGCTAATTAAAAAGGTTCTGTAGTGCTCCAGTTAATAATTTTATCCTCTTTTGGTAGTGAGCTCAGTGTGATACAAAGTCAAATGATGTACATGTGATCCAAAATGATGGTAATTTGATACATATATACATATATATATATACATATATATATGTGTGTGTGTATGTGTGTGTGTGTGTGTGTGTGTGTACTGTGCTGCTCAAGAGTGCGTGAGATGACAAGGGTCAAGTGAGAAAAAAATAAAAAAAGATTCGTAAAGAAATGCAATTCCGAAGTGATAAATCTGTATCTATGTAAAGACGTGTGTCAGTGTGTCTGCACAGGAAGAGTACAAAACAAAATAAATTTACGAAGATAAAGAGATAGAGAGAAGAGTAGTAGATCAATTGAAGATAACCAAAGGAAAGTCAGTCAGCAACGTAGAGAAGTGACATAAGCAGGTAGGACAGGTGGGACAGTAGCATGAGTTCGTACTTTGCGAATTCGTATATCCCGGACCTGCGAAATGGCGGGGTGGAACACCCGCATCAGCAGCACTATGGTGCGGCCGTACAGGTACCTCAGCAAACACAATCGGTCCAGCAACAGTCTCAGCAAGCCAGTGATCCCTGCGATCCGAGTTTGTTACGTCAAGGAGTATCCGCCCATCATTATGGAACCACGGGAGGTCAGCAAGATATGCCTTATCCGAGGTTTCCCCCGTACAATCGGATTGATATGCGGAACGCGGCCTACTATCAACATCAACAGGAACACGGAAGTATGGACGGCATGGCCGGTTATAGGTCGACGTCTCCGAACACCAGTATGGGTCACATGGGACACTCATCAACCCCTAACGGACATCCGTCCACTCCCATCGTCTATGCCAGTTGCAAACTTCAGGCGGCTGCTGTCGATCATCAAGGCAGCGTTCTCGACGGACCGGATAGCCCGCCTCTCGTCGAATCGCAGATGCACCATCAAATGCACAGCCAACACCCTCATATGCAGACGCAGCAATCGCAGCATCCGCAGCAGCAATCGCAGCATCAGCATCTGCAGGCACAGCAACAACATATGATGTACCAGCAACAACAACAATCTCAATCTGCATCGCAACAGGGACAAAGTGGAATGCACCCGCAACAGCAACAGCAAGCTCAGCAGCATCAAAGCGTTGTTGCATCATCGCTCAGTCAACAACAGCAAGGCGCGCCTCAAGGTGCGTCGAGTGCGAACTTACCAAGTCCGTTGTACCCTTGGATGAGGAGTCAGTTTGGTAAGTGTTACATTTTAATAAAATTTATATAATTATGATGTATCTTCTTTTCTCAGGCTTCAAATTGTTATCATAACTGATATTTATGAACGAAAAGAGAAAACATTTTATAGATTTTATAAATTAAATGCATGAAAATTTATTATAACCTTAACTTTTTGAGAATTGCAATATATACAGATTTAGTAATATATCACATTAAAATTTATTGTTATTGTTAAAAATTGTTTTACATTTTTTCTTGTATATTATTGAATGAAAATATAATAGAAAAGACCGCCTTTAAGAATAAAATCAACGTTTTATTTTATGCGTGACCAAAAGTCTAGTAGAAACCTAAGTTTCTAGTAAAGTAGTTTCTCAGGTAGCAGGTAGCTAACTTTTGTATTTATGCAACGGAGCACAAAACTAAACCAAATCCGTACGGTAGCTGACTCAGGATTGGCACAATGTCTCTAGATACGTCGCGACCGGAGTTATTTATTGCGTTGACCTGTTAGCCTGTCTGTTAGTTTCACCGCTCGTTCATCAGGTCACAATAAGCGTTATCTCTTGTTCTTTTTTCATATGACTACCGCTTGAAGTCTCAACGATATATTCGTTTTTATTAACATAATTTGCAATATTGCAATTTGTCTTTTTTCATTCTATATGCGATACATTTTGGGTAACGATCGAAAGTATTCAATATCTTTTTAAATATAGAGTTGGTTCAAAAAACAATTATTATTATATGTCTATATTTTAATATCTGTGCAATTAAATAATGCTCCTCAATAAGATCGTAAACATCTTGATAAATCTTCTCGTGTTTTTCACGGTATTCAATACTTTTCGAATCATATGTCTATTTATGGCTTTGTATGGCATAGCTATAAAGGAGTAACAATAAGACTGGACCGTCATTAGGTAGAAAAAAAAATCTTGGCACGAAATCGAATAAGTTATGGAATCCTAAAGCGCACCATTCCATCATTCACTTCTTCGTTTCTATATTGACTCGTAGTTCGACCTATCTTCAATGAAAAAACGATATGTCTGTATTATCTAATTCTACAAAGTAGCATCTGTCCGAAACAAAAAAACTTTAGCGACCCACTCTTATCTCTTCACCTATTTCTATTCTTCAGTCATTCGTCGCTTCTTCTAGAAGCAGCTTCTCTTCTTTAAGTAACTACAAATTGATCTGTGACTAAGTGACACGATTAATTTAACTTATTTAATTTTTTTTGTGGAACAATATTTATAAAGTTACATTTTGAAAACAATTAAAGGTACGTGCCAATATTCAAATAAATTTAATGTTTATTATAGTTTTATCTTTAGCATTAAAATATTTAAAATATCTTATATTTTTTTCATAAATTATGACTTTTCTGTTGTATACATATTTTTTTGAAGTATGTTGACAAAGCCTCTTAATTAAAGTATTAGTTGAAAATATATTAAATATATTAAATGTGAATTATTGATATCACATTTTGAAGTATTTTTACTGTTGTGATTATTTTTATTTATTTCTAGATGTTCTGAGATATAATTATATAGTTTTTAATATACTTCTGTCTCAAATATGTCATAGGAGAATTATGAATAAAAAATTGCAATATTTTTTGATAAGCTTTTTTAAAATGTATAAATATCTAAAATTATTATTTTAACTTTGGTACTTAAAAATCATAAAAAGAAGAAATGTTGAGTTTTTTTAGCAATGATTATACATATTTTTTTTCTGTTAATGATTACTTGTACCATCTTTCGGTTAAATTCAGAAGCAGATCCCGAGTCTGCTCCGGGATTGGCCGATAAACACTACGCTTATGACGACGCCAGGGCTTGTAGTTTACTGTCTGTTAAACGAAGAAAATGGCTTAAGTCCCTGAATGTGCTCACAGATGTCGGCACGTTTAAGAATGTTTCGTCTTATTCTCGCATCTCATTGCCTTTAAAAAACTGATTTTGCTTATTTTGTTGTACAAAAATTATACATAACATTTTTTTGTATAAAAATGCATAGAAGTTTACTTAGATCGCATTTTAATAAGAAAGTAAATGATTTTAAGAGAAAAATGAATGTTATTTTAAAGACATTAAAAAGAAAAAGCACGGAATGCGTTTTGCCATATTAAAATTTATTCATTTAACTGAACTGTTTTATTCTTTTAATCTTTTTTGTATCCCATATTTCATATCGCGACAATTTATTTGAGATGTATTCTGAACGTCTTAGAATATACATTACATTATTAAGGAATGTAATATACGAGCATGTACGTAATAAATTAATTAATTTTGAAGTAATTTTGATTTTATTTCTATTTGAAATGTATTATTTCTATGCTTTTAAAATTCATTTACTTTGTAAATGAATTTTAAAAGCGTAGAAATAATACATCTATCTGTATTTATATATCTTGTTGACTCTTTAAAATTGATGTAAGTTTGATTTCATATAGTTTCTTAATTATAATTAGAATTTTATCACGCTACATGTATTCTGCTTCAATTGCTGTACAATTTGAATGAAATATACTAATCAGATTTTTGTGAATTATGTACAGTTTTATTTCACGGATACCGTTAAAGAGCATTTAGTGAAATTGTTGAGATTTCTTAGTATTTTTTGTAGGACACGTTATACGTGAGCTGAGAAATTCCGGCATAGTTAGTTGTATTACGAAGACGTGCAAACATGCATACATTCCTTGATGAATGTCAAAGATTTAAAGAGACACAGTTATAAATATACATAATAAGAATTCTCCATTTTTCTATTAATATATGTTTGTATCAGAATTTTGTACACGGAAACGTTGTACAAAGAAAATTTTATTATTATAATGCAGTTTAAAAAATTTTTAATAATTCTGATACAGAAAAACAACAAAAGTATTGCTATACGTTAATTTGATAAGATTTGAAAATCTCGACATAATCTTTTTCATATTGAATAATACAATGTGTTTGCCATATTACAACACTGTTCAACATTTGGCATTCCGATCCCAAGTGTTGATCCGAGAAAAGGAGACCGACCATCGTACTTTTAATGCATGAGATAATTGCGATCCTCTGTGTGAAAAGATTTATGACATCTCGACTCCTTCCCCCCTCATATATTCTCAATCGGCAAATAAGCATGGCGTGATACAGTTACAAAGCTTCCGTTATTGCATACGTGCGTGCACGCTCGTATATTACATTCCTTATGTAATGTGTATTCTGAGACATATGTAATATGTACATGCTTCAAATAAATTGTCGCGATATAAAATATAGGATACAAAAAAGATTAAAAGAATAAAATAGTTAAATGAATAAATTTTAATATTGTAAAACGCACTCCATGCTTTTTTTTTATATATATTTCTTTATTTTTTCACAGTAAAAGCATTGTGAACGTGTTATATCAAAT